TTATCTAGTTCCTTGTGTGCTAAATTCCATAAACCACACACCAGAAGAGTTTCAATATTCTGTTTGAAAATACATCTTTTTCTTTCTGATTATAAAAGTAATATAAATGCATTCTAGAAAATTTGGAAAAATCAGAACGTTTAAAAGGAAAATAAGCCCCATAAGCACCCCCACCCAGAATGACCCTAACATCTGCATGCATTTCCTTCCAATCTTTGATCTTGCGCATGCTTTTGAGATTTATCCTGTTTTTCTGTTAGGTTATCCCCATGACATTAAAAATTCTCGAAGTACACTTTGAACATTTTCTTAGATACTGGTAATTTCACCCATAAAATTCACATACAATTTGAAATGCACGAATTTCTCATCAGGAGAACATGTATACTGTCCAGGGCCACCATGGCAGCCTTCCCCCCACAAGCTCTGCACCCAAAATTTGACAACATGATTCCAGTGACTCAGGGACCAAGCCCCTTCCAGCCTGTGGCTTTGTCACCTGTTATTATCTCTTTCAGGTTAAACTTCAACACCAGGCTATTTTGTACTTTCGCTAGTTTTATGTAAATTGATCATCTCTCTAAAAGAGAGAGAAAAAAGAAACCATATAGGAAGAAAAAATACAGACCCACATTTACTTTTTCACACAGACCCACATTTACTCCAAGCCAATATCCAAAAAAGCAACTAGAGTCAAGTAAATCATCAAGATCCTCGGCGCCGCTCCTCCCACCCTCTTGCACGCTGCACAGGGCTTCACAGTTACCAGCGAGTTCCTCTACATGATCTCTGGTCCAGCCACGTGTACGATGCTGGAGGACCAGAGCGACGCTGGAGGGATCTGACCCCTTGGCCGACGCGCATGCGCATGGTGGGGAGTTCCAGGGCAAAGTCCCCAGCCGGCTTGCGGGCCGCGGGGGTCGAGGGTGGTGAGAGCCGTTTGTGCTACCGGCTTGCAGGAACGTGGGGAGGAATATCTGCTTTCCCACCCGCAGCTGCAGCTCGCCCTGCTGAGCAGCTCAAAATGCTCTTGCAAATGCAATTCAGATCACCCCCTCAAATTCACACCTGGGAAAGAAAGAAGCGTTAAGAGGCATCATTAACACTCCCTCTGTATTTCCCCAGCACGTATTTGCATTCGTGCGGACGTGGTGCAGAGGCGTGCTCACAGCCCAGACCTGGATGTCCCCCTCTCCCTCCTCAGATCCTCCCTGCCATTGCTCTGGATACAGCTTCGAGGGTCGGCCCCTCTTCTGCCCACGCCACACCCACCCCCTCCTCCTCACAGGCCTCGCCCCTCCTGCCCCCTGGGCCTCCTATCTTAGTCTCTTCTACTCTCCTGGTACTCTCACATGTCATTGGCTGTTTTGGTTTCTCTGAACTCTGTGCCTGTTCCCAACCTATCTCTCTTAAGATGGACCAGCCTTACCTCCCCATTTTAGAGGAGAAGAAATTCTCCTCCACCTTCTTTGGTATCTGGCTGGGCCTAAGAATTAAACTGACATGGGATGGATTAACAGGAGAAAAACATACAAATTTTATTGAATTTATTCATGTACACGGGAGCCTTCACAAGAGAATGAAGACCTGAAGAAGTGACCAGAGCAGGAAGCTTTTATACCATTTAGACAGAGAAATAATAAATTTGTGAAGAATTGGCAAGACAAAGGGGTTTGGGCTATGGGTAGTAGAGGTGAAGTGACTAGGAAGATATGGATTAGTTTAATGAGATTTTTTATACAGCCTTTTCTGCCCTAAATTCCCTGTCTCTGCTGATAAGGATGCCTTCTACCCTCCCGGTACAGGGAGGGTACCTTTCACCTGGGAGATTTATCTCCTGCTTTCAGGACAAAGGAGGGTCAGAGTGTCCTTCTTGCACCAGCTGTTTCTTAAGTACCTTTAATTCAAAATAATCCATATGCCAAAGTGGTATATTTGGGGTGACATATTCTGAGCCCCTTCCCCATCTTCCCATGGATGTACATTGCCTGCACCATTGCCTCACCTGCAGGAGCATCTCTGAAGCCACCTTCCCACCACACTCCCAAGAAGGTTTGGCTTTCTTTGTTCGCTTTCATTTTTGTTTGTATTTAAAAGGCACTGAAGTAGCATATGTATTTACATTTTCCCCCAACACCAAACACAGGCATTCCATTACCCACATGCTCTTTCATTATAGACACCAAACTCAACACTCCATCTTCACTCTCCTCCTCTCTCCCTGCTCTTTCCCACACCAGTCCCCCTGATAATGCTTCTATCTGCTTATCCGTGTCAGTATGGCTGTCCATAACATTAGAGATAAGGCTCAATTAGATAACAGACACAAAGTACATGATGGCTCAAACGCAATTACTTTTTTTATTTCTAGTTGGATAGCCACTCTTTGCCACCAGCTGAGGACTCAGACCCCTCCACCTCGTGACTCCATCATCCCCCGTAGAAGGGACAAGGGCATAGGAGGGGGCACATCAACTATCGAAGGCCTTAGCCCAGAAGGGCGCACCCACTCTAGATGGGCCAGGACTCAGCACGTGGCCGCCCCCAATGCAAAGGAGGCCAGGAAATGTGGTTCAGTCCTGAGCTAGAAAAAGGGAAAAAAACGATTTGGAGGATCAACTGGCAGGCTCCCAAGGGCTGCCCAGAGCACTTAACTCTACCTGCTCATCAACCGTTCAAACAGGTTCTTCCAGCTCAGGACAAACACCTAGAGCTGGAAGGTTACAGCTGAGCCAGAAAAGGCGGAAGGCAGCTTCAAACTGGGGGATGGGAGTGGGTGTAGATTTCCTCCACGACATTTTAAAGTATGAAATATCCCTGAAGACTGTGAAAAAGCAGCTAATCTGACAAACTTTCTTCCACTGAAGGACTCAAAGAGACAAGGGCTCAGGGTGGCTTTGCACAGTCGAAGCGTTTACCACCTTGGTCAAGGCAAGACCATAGACCAGGTCTGCGGACAAGGCCTCCCCAGCCTGGCAGGGTTTGAGCCCAGAGTTTGTCCCCCATGAAGTCATATTTAGAGACACCCACTCAGAGCAAAATTAGCTGTGTGAGCTCAGATGCGACCACTCCAGGCCAAAAATATCCCACCTTGTAGAGGGTGCTGGAAATGGGCAGGGACATCGCCTTTGACTTCCATCCAGATACTCCACCCACTTCCATCTTGTCCCAACTTCAGCTGCTTCTCTTTGACTCCTGTCCTGGCATCTGTCCTAAAAAGAAGAAGGGGAAAACAGCAAAGTTTCTCATTTACAAATGAAGGGCTATAGAGGGCTGTGATCTAAAAGTCAAAGTTATCAAACCAAACAGCAGACTCTGCAGAGCAGACGCCGTCTCTTCCTCGTGCTGAAATATAAGAACGGATCTATGGGATTGACTTTTAAGGGAACTAACCAACCATGAGCAAGGTTAATGCACAAGTTAAGTTGGTACCACTCAAGTCCCATCCCCAGCTATTTCTTATTCAGATAAATGTTTTCTCAACAGACTGAATTTCTCCATTAACCAAGGGAAAAGCATAGTTACCACAGAAGAAATGCATGGCAGAGTCAAAGGACACAGAATGAAAGCCTGGGGAAGAAATCTTATAAAGCTTGTAGAAAGCTTTAAAATTATTGGCTGAACAAGTAATTTCATACAGTGGTGTATATGTGTTTAAAAGCAGTATCAGTTCCAAATTTCCCTTTGCACTCAGATTGTAGGAGAGTTTTCCTAAAGCATCGTGAACTAATGATTGCACCAATGCGTTAATCATGAAGGCCATCAGAGAGAAATCAACCACAAGCCAAAACTACAGATGTTACATGGTGAAGCACAAACCAAATCAAACGTGTAAACACACAGAAAGAGAGAGAACATTTCCCCACAAGGTTATTTTTTTAACCTTGGCATTGAATCAGCCAATAGGGTATAATGTATGCATACTTACCAACAAAAACCAGAATTTTTTTTTTAAACTTTGGAATTTGATTGACAATTTACAGACCTCGCTCAAAATTTTTGCCCCAGATATAAGAAGAGTAGCAAAAGAACAATTTATTACAAAGGGATATTTATTTATTTATCATGTATGTGCCTTCACTTAACCTTATGACAATCCTACGTATTGGGTATCGTGAACACTATTTTGTAAATGTGGAAACTGAGGCCCAATGAATTCGAATAGTGTATTTGTCTACTCGGGCTGCCATAACAGAATACCACAGACAGGGGGGCTTAAATAATAGAAATCTATTTTCTCACAGTTCTGGGAGCTGGAAGTTTAAGGTCAAGGTGCCAGCAGGTTTGGTTTCTGGTGACCTTGGTTGATCTGGAAGACCTTTCTTCCTGGCTTGCAGATGGCTGCCTTCTCACTGTGTCCTCACATGGCCTTTTCTGTGTGCACACCCCTGGTGTCTCTTCCTATGCTTATAAGGACACTAGTTCTGTTGCATTAGGGCCCCACTCTTATGACCTCATTTAACCTTAATTACCTCCTTAAAGGCCCTATCTCCAAATATAGTCACATTGGGGTTGGGGCTTCAACATATGGATTTTGGGGAGGATACAATTCAGTCTATAACATGTAGCTTGTCCAAGAGCCCACAATAAATAAGTGGTAGAATCAAGACTGTCTGAATCCACTTTTCTTTATCCAGACTGCACTGCCTCTCCAGTGCCATGGCATGTCAGATAAAGAGGGGACACATCTTGCTGTGAGAGCTGCCTCTTAGAACTTGCCAGCAGGGAAACAATCTCACAGCAGTAAGCTCTGTCCTGGTGGGAAGGGTGGTGAAGTACTTACACGAACTAGATGGAAGAGCACAGGAGTCCAAGTCAACTAGAGGCCTGTCCAGATGACAACAAATAAAAATGGCTTCATCTACTCTGTTAATAGCTACATATTTGTTATTTGGTTTCACTACCATATACCAACCACACATAGTGCGGTTTCCATGATCCCCAAAGAGCCAGCATTTCATTTGGTTTTTCTTTTCTTTTCTCCAAACCACCAGCTAACGTCCTGGAGGGCGACTCCATGGATCAGGATGTTGAGAGCCCTGTGGCCATTCACCAGCCAAAGTTGCCTAAGCAGGCCAGGGACGACCTGCCAAGACACATCAGCCGAGACCGGACCAAAAGGAAAATCCAGAGGTACGTGCGGAAAGATGGGAAGTGCAACGTCCATCATGGCAACGTGAGGGAGACCTACCGATACCTGACTGATATCTTCACCACCTTAGTAGACCTCAAGTGGAGATTCAACTTGTTGATATTCGTCATGGTTTACACAGTGACGTGGCTCTTTTTTGGGATGATCTGGTGGCTAATCGCATACATCCGAGGAGACATGGACCACATAGAGGACCCCTCATGGACTCCCTGCGTCACCAACCTCAATGGGTTCGTCTCTGCTTTTTTATTCTCAATAGAGACAGAAACCACCATTGGTTATGGCTACCGGGTCATCACGGACAAGTGCCCAGAGGGAATTATTCTCCTCTTAATCCAGTCTGTGTTGGGGTCCATTGTCAACGCATTCATGGTAGGATGCATGTTTGTAAAAATATCGCAACCCAAGAAGAGGGCAGAGACCCTGGTTTTTTCTACCCACGCAGTGATCTCCATGCGAGATGGGAAACTGTGCCTGATGTTCCGAGTAGGGGATCTTAGGAATTCCCACATTGTGGAAGCTTCCATAAGAGCCAAGTTGATCAAATCCAAACAGACTTCGGAGGGGGAGTTCATCCCCTTGAACCAGACAGATATCAATGTAGGCTATTACACCGGGGATGACCGTCTGTTTCTGGTGTCACCACTCATCATCAGCCACGAAATTAACCAACAGAGTCCTTTCTGGGAGATCTCCAAAGCCCAGCTGCCCAAAGAGGAACTGGAAATTGTGGTCATCCTAGAAGGAATGGTGGAAGCTACAGGTAAGGCATGCTCCATCCTGGGATATCTGTGGGATCAATGCTCATTTTAAACTGGGACTGATGTTCTTATTTCTGTCAAAATATGGAAAACTGAGCCTCACTCACTATTAACAACATCCCCTTGCTTCATGAAATAGTATGTCTATGTGTCCTATAACCTTAAGTATATCTATCCAGAAGTCTAACCATTTAGCTTTTTAAAAGCTCTTTGAAAATTAAAATAAACAGTTATTCAAAACAACACATTTTAAATTTCCACATATTTACTTAAATTAAAATTTCATCTGTCTCTAAAGCACCTCTTAAATAGCTCTAAAACATCACTTAGTTTAATACTTGAGGTTATTTATTGCCAAGCCAGGAGGAAGAAGTTAAGCCTTTCAAAGGAAGCCTGACAAATTGCTTTAATAAAAATGCGATTTCATGCCTCCTTTGGGAGGCATTTGCAAGACCCATAGCATTGGTGTTTCTGTTATATCAAGTGAGTGCTTGGTGTCTCTCTCCATACTCTACCTGCTGAACCACAAGTAGGCATAATACTGTAGACCCAGTAAATAGCAGGAAAGAAAAAAAATTGAAGATCCATTCATCAAAATCCTGTTGACCCTTCTGCTGTTAATGGCTAATCATTGGTGTGTTTTAGGGAAGATGATCTGTTCTCAGAATAGAGAAGTGGTCTGTTTTTATTGAAGTCTTCACTCATATCTGAACTTGACATGTGTTATACATCCCAAAAGCAAAGCAGGTTCTGCCCATGTTAATCTGTAACATTCCACAAAGCAGAGCCATAAACTCTGACTTAAGCTAACAATAGCGCCCCACAGGAGAAGTATAAACTAGAACACTAATTCATTAATTTCTTTACTGTTCTTCTGAGTTGTTAATATTAGCCTTGGATCCTCTTTAGTTATACAATCTACCCTTCTGTGCTTTGAAGTCTTCAACTTGAGGCTCAGGGTTGCTTTATGTCATCTGAAAATGCATGGTCAACAGCCTGGCCCCAAATTCTTCATCAACCCATAACCTGATCCCAGTCATCCTTTCAAATGAAAGTCATTGGTCCCATGTCTCTATGTCCAACAGGAAGGTTATAACCTCTAATAGATTTCTCTTATGGTGGTGGAAACTTCTGCAAAAGCTTTTTTAAATGCAGCAAACAATGAAAATGTGAGCAAAAGGCTCTGCATGGTGCTCAATGATATGAGTATGCTCCCTTCCAGAGAACAAAAGGAATATGGACCTAATTCAAAAATGGCTTTAAAGAATAAAAAAATAATTATTGTGAAATTCTAAACAGGTACTGCACATGTGAACAGCGTTGCCTGTACCTTGAGCCTGACTTTTGAGTGTACTCGTGAGGCAATAGTTGTGTGAGTGGGAGGGAGAAGAGAGAGGATGAGGGAGGGTTAGAGGAGGAGGAACAATTCAAACAGGGAGCCCTGTCATTTTCCCACAGACTGGAAACTTCTCCCACCTCGGCTGAGCACAGGGACTCTGGATCCCTCTAGTGGTGGCCACTGAGGTACAGCCTCTGGCAGCATAAACTGACCACTCGTGACATGGTTTTAATATTAGATTTCTCACTGTAAACTCTCCCAGTAGGACATGAGGGAGGGCAATGGACCAGCCTTGTTATCATTGGGTCTTTGAGCTGAAGAAGCAAAAGCCACTGGAGAGGTACCCTCTGGTTACTGGTGTTAATCTGAGCTTCAAATTGCACCAGCTTCATGTTCCCTCAAAGGAAAGCCTAAACTCAAAAAATAAATGAACGCAGAGTTAAGAGAATTATCTTTGTGATGTCCCTGAGTCAGAATTCTCCCTGGGGCAGAACCTGTCTTTCTGATGACAGCTTGTAATGAGTGAGCCTTTCCGAAAAGAGGAGCATTGTTTTCTTAGTAATTAACAGTGATACTTGCCTCTGAGCATTCCGCGGCCTTTCTACCACTTTCTTGGAGAAAACTGGGTAGTTGCCAGCAAAAAGAATCAAAACACTTACCCTTGTTCCTGGGAAAATGCAACCACTATTAATTTCTTAAAAAAAAAAAAAGTTTTCTGATTTCTGGAAAGTGGAGGGAGGAGTGTTCCAGAAAGTTCTGGGTTTGTCTAGAAGCTGGACATGTCTTGATCCTTTCCTGATGAGATTCATGCAATTTAGTACTTCCAGCATATCTGATCTCTTAAGCAGTATGCTTTTTTGTTCTCAATGAAAAGCACAATTGGGATTTATAGGCATTAAACAGGCCCTTGGGCGGGGGGTGGGGTGGGGAGGAAATGCTTCACTGAGCCAAAGCCACAGGAAAAAAATAAAAGTGGACTGAATGCACATTAAGGAAAACAAATTCACAAGGATCTAGTTATTCATTGTAGAGCTACATGGGAAATCAGGAGCCATGGAAACAGCAAGCTGACACAAAATGGCTTCCACTTTACTCATCCCTTCTTTCAAAAATGTCTTAGTTGACCTCAAACTATTATCAGTGATCTCACTTAGTGGACCTCTTTCAAGGATGAGCCCCACGCAGCCATCTCGACACAGTGCCCTCTTCCTGTCATGCATGTTGTGGGCACACAGTGATCCTACATGGTGTTTTCTCGAGATCTGAGCTATCCTGCAGTAGGCTGGCCGCTGGGGTCCTTCAGTCTACTGGGTGCTCATGAACAGCACAGGCCAGTTGGTGCTCTGTTGATACACTATATTCCAATGCCAGCTGTACCACTGCAAGCCTGCTTTGTCACATCAGTCAGAGTCAGGCTCATTTCTAGAAAAAGAAAGTAAGCTCCTTGAAGGCAGGATGTGAGTCTTGCCCACCTTTGATGCCTGGCCCCAGTCCTTCACTCAGTGAGTTCTCTAGTCTCATAAAAAACAGATTCACACCCACAAAAGACAGACCCACATCCTTGGTGGATGGCTTCTCTCTGGTCCTGCCCAGCGTCAGAGGGATGTGCACGGTGACCTCTCAAGAACCCTCCAGTCATGTGATTCTATTTTTGAAAATGAATCAAACCTGGAAAATTCTGACACCAGCCACTCAGACATCTGGGAACTGGCCATGTCTCATCCTGCAAATATATTTTTAAAGGGGGCCCTTTATGTTCCTGACACATGGGCAATTTTGAGATAGTGATGTTTACAGAAGGGTTCATAGCTACATAAACAAACATGCTCAGCAGCTGTGGCAAATGTGCATTAAAATAGTAAAGCATTCATAGAGACTGTTATTTATAGAGGGCAAATTGGCCTAGAGGCTAGATGACAGCTACACAGAGCTGGGACCATTGCCAGCCAACTCCTCACCATAGCCTTTCTGCTTGATGAACTTCCATATTTACCCCCAGTGATTATGCAACTATGACAAGCAGCCCTTTCTAACACCTCAGCAAATGTGCCTCATTAGGATGAATCCCCACTAAGCCTTTTTTTTTTTTTACATTTTTTATTATGGAAACTATAGAACTTATACAAGAGTAAACTAAATAGTATAATTAACTCCCACGTACCCATCATTCAATTTCTATAATTGTCAATTCACAGCCCAACTTGTTCCATCTATGTCACCACTCACTAACTTGCCCCTAGCATCATATCATTTTATCTACAAATATTTCATTATACGTCCTTAAAAGATAAGGACTCTTTTAAAAACATAACTACAACATTGTTATGACACCTAAAATAATTAATGATCATTTCTTGAGATCCAATATCTACTAACTGTTCCAACTTCCAGTTGTCTCATAAACGTCTCTTCTAATTTTTTTTAAATCTGCTTGTTTGAATCAGGACCCAAACGAGGTTAATATGCTGTGATTGGTTGAGATCTCTTTTAAGTCTCTTAATGTATGAGTTCTCCTTCTGTCTCTGTGTTTTGGTTTTTTTCTTTCAAGTTTTCCCTAAAGAAGAGAACTTCTGAAAGATTTAAATATTGCATAGAAAACTGGGGAAAATGGAGGATGGGAGGAAGCCAACTTAGTGAAGATATGTTAGACAACACTTTATAGACGAGGAAGCAGGGCTGACTCTCCAAGACTCGTGTCTGTGGGTTACCAAGAAGGAGGAGGAGTGTACACCAGACCGGAAGTAGATGAGGTCAAACCGTCTTTCACCAGAGGAAAGCTGAGTTCCATTTCTAGAATGACGTTATTCACCTGAGGAGAGTTTAGTCGCATAAGTCACATCACAGATCACAGGATTTTTGAGTTGAAAGGAGTCTTTGTCCAACCTTTACTTTACAGATGAGGAAATGGAGGCCCAGCAATACTAGTGTCTTGGCTCAAGTGAAATAACCACTGGCAGAGCAGGAACTTGAAACCCAAGACCACTGATGGTGTCATCCAGCCTCCAAGTTCAATGCTCTTTGCGTCATGAATTCTGTTGGTTCCTGAGGATTCTGTGGAGACATGCACCCAAAAAAAGACGACTGGTGTTTAATGTGCAGACAGGATCTCTTCCCTTTTCTCCCACCATTAGTTCCTCTTTTTCTTTAAGGTTTCTCTGTTGGTCTCCAATGTTGTCAATTCATTTTAAAATTCTTTATGCATTCACGTGAATTTTTAACAACCATATATTAAAATGAGATGAGCCACAAAACAGTTCTGAAATCAAAATTAAGTGAGCGTCATCTACAAGAATACCCTTGGAAGAATATAATGTTCTGTCAGATCTGATTTCCAAGTACCATTTTTTTGCTGTAATCAAAATGCCACTTCACTATAATAAGGCAGAATATGAGATCACAGCGTTTGAAAAGGTGACATTTCTTATAAGATGGTTGAGGGTTAGCATTACAGTACTCTTAAGCTGTTTCTAGTAATGATCTTTCGTAGCCATTACATTTTTGAAATCTTATTTTCTCCTTTTGAAAGTTACTGCTAATCCCTTCATTAGCAAGCTGTTATCTCTGGATTTACCATTTTTCTCTTAAGAGTTATAACTCCAACTACCTGGCCTGAGAAAAGAGTCAATTGATGAGATCTGAAGTGCTAAGAACTTGAGTGAAGATCTCCTGGTAAATCTCTATGAGGAGTAATAGAAAAAAATTCAAAAACAAGT